AACAGCACCTCCTGGAGTGGGGAAAGCAGAGTGCCGCGGAGCAGCGCCGGCTCCCAGCTACCCCGGGGGCAGGGTGGCCACCGCGGGCGGCTCCCTGCTGGCCCCAACAGCTGGGCGGCAGCCCCCTGTGTGTCCAGTGCACCTAGGCCTCGCCTGACCTTTGTGACCCCCCAGAGCACACACCCCGCCTCCTGGTCCCTAATTGCCTCTCTCCCCTCCACACACACACACACACACACACACACACACACACACACACGCATCTGCAAAGGCGGGAACAAGGCCCAGGCGGCCGCATCCACGCCCTTGCTGGCGAAAGTCACACTTCAAGTGGCCAGCTGTGTGAGGGGCAGTGGACACACATGCAACTCACTCACTCTCTCCCTGGAAAATCCAGGGCGCAACTTGGCTCCTGCAACGTGCGGAATTAGAAATCGAACCGTTTATTGTCTCCTAACTTTCTCTGGTTTCTTTGGTCACTCACTGTGGCTGCCCCCACTGTTCTGAGTGGGCCCTGGGGGCTCCTCAGCCAGACCACAAATCCCCAAATCAAACACTCGCTTTCAGAAAGCCAGGCTTCTCTCAACGCACCCCACAACCTAAAAGGTTGCCCCTCCGTGAAAAGCTCGGAGGAGCACCGAGCTGGGAAAGGACAGCTAGTGCGTGGCGGGGTCCCTGGGACCCGAAAAGGTGCAGAAAAAAAAAAAATTTTTTTTTAACACATTTCAATTTCAAGAAGTAAAAACAAAACCAAGAAAGAAAAACTACGCTTTCGGAGCCTGAACATCCACAGGGACCTCAGCGCGATCCTGAGCCGCCACCCGCCCCAGCGCGGGATCCGGGCCTGCCATCTGCGACCGGGGGAGATGGGGCAGACACCGCGGATTGGGCGTGCCATCTGCCACCAGGGGAGCGGGCCTAAGCCAGCAGGTGGTTATCTCCCGAGGGGTCCCAGACTGTGAGAGGGCACAGGTTGGGCTGAAGGACCCCCCTGCCCCCCCCCCCCCCGGGCCAGTGCACATTTTGTGCACGGGGCTTCTAGTTGTTTATAAGAAATTACATTAAATATAAAGATACAGAAAGGTTGAAAGTAGAAGGATAGAAAAGATATACCAATAAATACTACTAAAAAGAAAATACCATTGACTATTTTAATATTAGACAAAGTAGACTCCAGAACAAAGAATATTACAAAGCATAAAGAGAATGCTTCATAATAATAGGTCAGTTCATAAAGAAGACATAATCATAAATGCATGTGCAACTAAAACAATTTCAAAACACATGAAGCAAAACAACAGAATTTAAAGGAGGAACAAATTTACAATCATGACTTCAGATTTCAGTAATACTATTTAAGTAATTAAAAAAGTCAACAAGAAAATCAGTAAGGCTATATGACTTGACCAAGACTCTATTTTTTTATCCTCACCCAAGAATGTGTTTTCATATGTTTTAGAAAGTGAGGAAGAGCAAAATGAACATTGATGTGAGAGAAAAACATTGACTAGCAACTGGGTATCAAACCCACAACCTGGGTATGTGCCCTGACCAGGAACTGAACCCATCACTTTTCTGTGTACAGACAACCTGCGAGCCACACTGGCCAGTAAGCTTGATTTTTTAAGATAGAATATGGGTATCCAGTTTTGTGGGGGTTTTTTGTTTAGGGCTTTTAAAATTGACTTTTAAAGAGAGAAGGAAAAGGGAGAGGGAGAGAGAGAGAGAGAGAGAGAGAGAGACAGAGAGAGAGAAACATCAATGCGAGAGCAGAACACTGATCAAACATTCTTATTACTAATTTTTAACGGAAAAATTCATGTGTAAAATAATAAAAATCAAGTGTTACTTTAAAATATTAAAAACTTTCAAATTATAGATTTAAATCATAACTACCTATGAATAAATAGCACGATTTAACAATCAAGTTATTCTAAATTCCAGAATAAGGTGAGTTTATTAACATTTTAGCATTCGACTTAGCCATTTATTAAAGAGAAGTCCAACAAAAACATTACTGGCCAATAACAAAACTTCTTTCAGATGTCAGATGGTTATATCTAGAGTTAATACTCAAGACAATCCTAATAATGAGAACTATACACCTCTTTCAAAACTTAGCTTTAATGAATCATGAACATTTTAAAAAACTGTTGGTGCAGCAAAAGTGAAAATTTAAATCAAACCTCTTTCAATGATATTTATATCCTACCTGTATCTTCAATGAATTCCACACATTTTTCAACAAATAGTGGTATGGGCTTCTCAGCTGTAACCAGATCCTGGAGGGGCATCCCAAAGTAATTACTTTCCCAATTTCTACGTGTTGGTGGATTGAAGTTCTTAGTTTTCTTCTTCTGCTGTAAGAAAACATATTCAAGTTAAAACTATTAAATTTCCTTTAGAATAATATTAGTATTAAGCATTGTAAATACACATTTTGTATCAAAAGAAATATTTAAAAGCCACACCCAGCCCTAGCCAGTTTGGCTCAGTGGATAGAGAGCTTCAGCCCTCAGATATTCGAAGGGTCCCGGCTTCGATTCAGGTCAAGGGCACACAGCTTGGTTGTAGGCTGGTGGGAACACGTGTGGGAGGCAACCAATTGATGTGATTCTCTCACATCCATGTTTCTGTGTTTCTCCCTGTCCCTTCCACTCTTTCTAACAATCCATGGAAATATCCTCAGGTGAGGATTAACAACAACAAAATAAAAGCAGTGAAAAATAAATGAATAAATTAAAGCCACATCCAACCATGCCCATCAAAATGGTACTCATTAAATAAATTCTGCTAAAAGCAGCAACTTAAGCAATGGTGAGATAAAAGTAAACAGAAAAAATAGGTGAGTAGAAAAAAAAATGTTTCCTTTGAAAATAATGGAAAACTGGATAGGTAGGGAGATTAGAAAAAATCATTTTTCAATGCCAACACAAAGGAGAAACTAGGATTAAGCAATGCTCAATTCAGTTTAGGGGTGGTCTGTTAATTTTATTTGGTCTTTACGACATGTCATGTGAGGTTTTGGGGCATGGCTGTATTTGTAAGAATGTAACTTTAATTACCAATTATACAGTGAACCTATGTAACTCCATAAATTTTTAGTCCCATCATTTGTGCCTTCTTTTCCCATTTGCCCCAACCAAAAATCGAACCACAATCTCCTGGTTCATAGGTCAATGCTCAACCACTAAGCCACACCAGCAGGGCTATCCTATCTAATAATAGACAAAGATTCAAATTGACCATACCTTCGCTACGCCCACCATTGGCTAATCAGAGCGATATGCAAATTAACCACCAACAAAGATGGCGGTTAATTTGCATATGTAGGCGCAAAGTAGTGGAGCAAAGACTGAAGGTGGCTCCGGCCGGAGCGGCACCGGTTTTCCTCCGGCACCCGAGACCCAGGCCTATTGCATGAATCTTTTCGTGCAACAGGCCTCAAGTTTCTTTATATTTTTAAAATATGTTTTGACTGATTTTAGAGAGGAAGGGAGAGGGAGAAAAACATGATCAGCTGTCTCCTACACACTCCTTACTGGGGATTGAGCCCACCACCTGGGCATGTGCCCCAAGCAACCTTTGTGCATAGGATGACGTTCAACCAACTGAGCCAAGAAATAGAGTCAGGGCCTGACTCTATTTCTTAAAGATAATTTGCACAATAAACAAGGCATTTTCACAATAAAAAAAATTAAGGAAGTTACAGAGTTTTAACTTCAATCTAGCATTAGGAGAAAGTAGGTTTTAACCCAGGGAGAGAACATCTCAAAAACTTAAGGAAGTATTGTCTGGAATTCAACCACTGAGGAAATTGAGTCAGTCTTTTTAGAGCAGGGTATAGTAACCATCTCCACAGATGATTCTATTATGCACTCCCAATTGAGAATCTCTAAAATATAGAAAGAAGAGGAAGTTTTCAGTAACTTATACATATTAGAGCACCTTTATTGACAGCCATTATTGCTTTTTAGTCTAATTTTATCTACAAATTTTTATTTTTTCTGGTATAACCAACCTGTTCATATTTCTCAAAAATATCATTACTGATTTACAAACAGGATAAAAACATAATTTCTTGCCCCAAACCGGCCCACCCCAGGGGGCGAGTGGGGCGGAGGGGCTGGGCCGGGACTGCGGCTAAGTTTGGGGCTGGGGTTGGTGATGCTGCGGCTGGGCCGGCTTGCCAGGCTTGGGCGGAGGCCGAGGGATGGCGAACATGCGGGTGGCCGTGAGGGTGCGGCCCCTCAGCAAGACAAAGACCAAAGGAGGAGGAAGAATTATTATGGAAATTGATGGCAAAGTGGCAAAAATCAGGAATTTAAAGGTGGACAATCGACCAGATGGCTTTGGCGACACCTGGGAGAAGGTTGTGGTATTCGGCTTTGATTACTGCTACTGGTCAGTCAACCCAGAGGACCCCCAATATGCATCTCAGGATGTGAATCCTCCACAGCAACATTCGAGACCATGAAGTTAAAAGAAACCCAGAGACCTTTATCTATTAATTATACTGTTTGTATAAATAACAAAGATCCTCTTAAAACGTTCATATTCTTACAGTAAAAGATTAAACTGATATTTCTATAATAAAAAACAAAACAAAACAAAAAAACGCCCACATAATTTCTAATCAGAAAGGTGTGGGTGGGTCGGGGAGGGAGCACAGGTAAAGCTTTCAATGCCTAAAGCAGTGATGGTGAACCTATGACATGTGTGTCAGAGGTGACACGCGAACTCATTTTTTTGGTTGATTTTTCTTTGTTAAATGGCATTTAAATATATATAATAAATATCAAAAATATAAATCTTTGTTTTACTATGGTTGGAAATATCAAAAAATTTCTATATGTGACACGGCACCAGAGTTAAGTTAGGGTTTTTCAAAATGCCGACACGCCGAGCTCAAAAGGTTCTCCATCACTGGCCTAAAGCAACAATTCTCATCTTAATTTCCAATTCTTTTTGGAAGAGTCTCTCCTTTGGATGGATCCCCCAATGTATTCTTCTAAGTCTCTGGATATCTTGGAAAAATTAACTAAGTCCTTTCTTACTTTCAATTTCAGGTTGCTCCACCTAGCAAACCTCCAGAGCTCATAAAATCCCACTTCTAAATCCTCATATACTATCACTCTTTGGTGATACAGATTACATGCAATATAATTACATGTCTGGGATGTTGTCATCAAAGCATTGGCATGTTTGCTCTGGCTCTAGAACTAACCCACCAAATCAATAGTATGTGGACACTTACTCCTTAAATGACCCTTCCACTACCACCACCATCAAAACAGTACAATGTGGAAGGTAGTAGAAATGAACAGACTATAATTTCAAAGCTGAGAGAGGATACATTGACTGAGTCCTCTCTCAGGAGCACTAAGATACTTTCTAGCCTGCAAACTACTAGCTGCTCCCATTTGACTCAGTAATCCCACTTCTAGGAATGTATCCCAAGAAATCAGAAATACCAATCAGAAAGGATATATGCACCCCTATGTTCATAGCAGCACAATTTACAATAGTTGATTTGGAAACAGCCTAAGTGCCCATCAGCAGATGAGTGGATTAGAAAACTGTGGTATATCTACACAATGGAATAATACACTGTTGTAAAAAAAGAAGTAATTCTTACCATTTGCAACGACATGGATGGAACTGGAGAGCATTATGCTAAGCGAAATAAACCTTTATTTCAGATAGATAAATATCACATGATCTCACTCATTTGTGAAATATAATGAACATAAACTGATGAACAAAAACAGAACCAGAGTCATAGAAGCATTGATTAGACTGTCCAACCTATGAGGAAAGGCGGGGGGGGGGGGGGGGGGGAAGAGGAGGTAAAGGTTAACCAAAGGACTTTTATGCATGCATATGAGCATAACCAATGGACACAGATGGGTGGCAGGGAGAGGAGGGGTGAGGGCAAGTGCTGGGGATTGGGGGCGGTCAGGGAGAGGTCAATGGGGGAAAAAGGAGACTTGTGTAATACATTAAACAATAAAGAACTTAAAAAATATGTATATCCTCGGGTGAGGATTAAAAAATAAAATGAATGGAAGTACAGTTAAATGCCCTCACCAAACAGATAATCTATTATGAAGAAAAAACCTCACTACCCGTCATTTAATTAGTAACACGTATAAAACAGTGTATGATTATGTGTCAAAATAATTAGACATAGGCTTAAACCCAGACTTTAAAAGATAGAAGTTATGCTCACAGCCAGTTGGCCTGGAGGTCAAGTAGTAATTACCTACAACAATCAAGGCTTGACTACAAGACTGCTCACAGAGACCACAAGGGGGTGCACCAAGAGTGTCTACCTCAGGTAATTGGGACACTTAACACGGAAAGCCACTCTATCGACACAGCGAAGCATAAAAAAATGCCAAGACAAAGAAACAGGCCACAAAGGACAGAACCGGAGGAAAGCAGACTGCGGGATATAGAATTCAAAACCACACTTTTGAGGTCTCTCAAGAGGCTTCTAGAGGCTGTCGATAAACTTGATGAGATGTACAGGAAATCTAATGAGACCCTCGATGGTGTGATAAAGGACCAACTAGAAAGTAAGCACACACTGACTGAAATAAAGAATATTATACAGACTCCCAACAGCAGACCAGAGGAGCGCAAGAATCAAGTCAAAGATTTGAAATTCGAGGAAGCAAAAAACACCCCAACCGGAAAAGCAAAATGAAAAAAGAATCCGAAAGTGTGAAGATAGTGTAAGGAGCCTCTGGGACAGCTTCAAGCGTACCAACATCAGAATTATTGGGGTGCCAGAAGATGAGAGAGAGCAAGATATTGAAAACCTATTTGAAGAAATAATGCAGAAAACTTCCCCTACTGGTGAAAGAAATAGATTTACAAGTCCAGGAAGCGCAGAGACCCCAAACAAAGGAATCTAAAGAGGACCACACCAGACACATCATATAAATGCAGAGCAAAGACAAGAGAGAATTTTAAAGCAGCCAGAGAAATAACTTCAGTTACCTACAAG